CCAGCAGGAGCACAACTCAAAAGCGTAATGGTACCGCGATTTAAGATTTTCCTGAATAATTCTTACATTATTTTATTGTTTGTTAATTTTACAACTTTACCATATTTTGCATGCACTGGCGAATATTTGGTGAAAATTTGATGAAAATCGGACTGATATTGAGCGCGCAGTAGCGATTTTCCGCAAAACGCCCAAAAGGGTGTCCTGTAACCTTAATGGACTTTAAACACAAAATTAGCGATTGGATTATCGTGGCGAAGCAACACATGCATCGAAGACCAAATTGAGTCTAAATCAAACGCGTCTTAATTCATTCAGTTTCCCTAAATCGTATAGATCGAAAGCATCGTCCAGTCAATATAAATCATCTTTATCTTCAGCCAGAGCTAAGGAAATGGCAAAACTCACAGAGTTGAAAGTAAAGGAAAATATATTGGAAAAACGACAAACACTTCAAAATGAAATTGAGAAACTGACGTTATAAGAGGAGATAGCCGTTGCCCAAGCAAGAGAACAAGCGTTGGTGCAAATTGATACTGAAGTAAACTCTGAACCTATTGCAGATGGAATGAATGAATATCTTGAAGCTGCTCATTCGACCTGCAAGAGCCCTTCTCCAAGAAAAGAGGAATATCTAGAGAAAAGACATTTGATATATCAAGAGAAGGCAACTAATATCGAAGATGCGTCATCAGGATTCCCATTTACGTATAAGATAGATAAACAGAAAGATTCTACGGTTCTCAAGAATCCATTTCCTAAACGTCCTACTATACACGTCCAAAAATTTTCCTCTGCATAATACAAATATTATCGAATCTCCACCACTTCGTAGGCAACGATGTATACCACGCCCGAGCCAACCCGTAGATCAACCAACTGATCCACTGATACAGATACTTGACAAAAAGACAAAATAAACTGACAGAGATTCTATCCCATCAACATCAACAAAGTCTTTTGCTTCCACTTGGTTTGTCAATTTTTAAAGGTGATCCAACTGAATATCATATTTTCATACAATAATTTTTTCTAGAACCACTGAGTATTTTAACAAAATACAAAACAAGTGAAACTCCAAAAATCGATAACATTTTTATTTATGTACGTTTCGACTTTTTGTCAGTCATTGTCAGGATAAACGGCAAATATATCCTGATGTTGACTGAAATATAGTCGAAACGTAGATAAATAAAAATGTTATCGATTTTTTTAGTTTTACTTGTTTTGTATATTTTCATACGTACTTTTGAAACGAGAATCGAGTCAAGGCTGCATTCAAGCGAAGCCTGTCTGCAATGCTCTGTTATCATGAAGTGCCGTAGGATGCCATACCACTTAAAGTAATGTTACTAATGTATCTTGGCACCGGTCCTTTTTTGGGTTTATTTTTGTCGTCGTTAACGATCTTTTCAAGAACTTGTCGTGAGAAGATAGGATCCGTTGCCACCTTGCTTCCACCTTTGCTTCCGAAGTAAAGATACCTAATCGAAACGATGCTACGCTAGATCTCATTTTAACTAATATGCACAAGTTTTACAACCCACCTCAAGGTTATCCAGGATTTGGGCTGTCCGATCATAATACACTAGTAGCTACAGGGAAAATTGCAGTGCAGAAGAATAATACTAAAAAATCGATAACAATACGTGACCAGCGGAAAAGTCGTAAACTAGAAATGGGAAGATACTTAAGTTCAATTGATTGGACCTTAATGCTCAGTCCCTTGGATACTTGCGAAAATTTGTGGACAGTCTTCCAAGAAGTAGTTCATTCTGGACTAGACACCATAATGCCAGAAAAACAAATTCGTATTCACCCAGCTGACGCTCCATGGATGAACCAGAAGCTTAAATCCCTAATTTTTAGGAGACAAAAAGCTTTCAATGCGCACGGTGTACATTCCCCCCAATTTAAATATTACCGTAATTGTGTCAACAGAGAAAGAAAAGTCTGCAGGGCAAAATACTACGAATCCAACATTAAACAACTTAAAGGAGAAGTCCCAAGGAAGTGGTGG